CGGGACGACTAATTCGTGGCTCATTATAGAATTTAGTGGATTAAGGGCTGTATGGGAGTGCTGAAGAATCTTCTTAAAGAGATTAAGTTTTGAGTCCAGGTAATACTTGTAAGTTCTGATCATTTTTACGATTCAACCTACAAATGTAAATTGAATGTTGATTGTAAATGCAATAGGGCCTTTTTTATATATAAGAAAAAGAAAGGAACATGAACAATTGGTACATGCAAAATTGTGGCATCTTAATCCAAAATGAGGACTAATTAATTGGAGAAGGCATTGGCTGTACACCTCTGCCTAACTATTTTGAAAATTTAATGCGGTTTATTTGATTATATGTAAAAATGCTGGAATTGTTATGCTTAATTGTTATTAAAGGGAACATTAAGCTTTTCTTTATCTGCTCAAGTTCAAAACAATTTGAAGGTTCTTGTTCTGGATTAAGGATTGTGAAATTGTTGGAGCTGTACAGTTAATAACTCCTCGGAGAGAATAGGTTCTGATTATTGTTGATTTCTTATTTATTTAATTTGGGACTTTGCCTATTGGAATTAATTATTCAGAATTGTAGTACATATAATTTAGTAGTGATTTTGATTATTAGTAGTTTTTTTTATTGTGATCATGAGAGGGAGTTATTATTTGCAGCTTGTTCTCAAGCTTGTTCCAGTGTGATTTTCAAAGAACTCCAAGATCCCATAACAAATTAGAAAGTTTTGGTGAGTTGAATTCATCCTCTGTTCTGAATTCACTTGGTTTTTGTTGAATTTCCCTCATTCAAATCAGTCCATTTATAAATGGACTCTCCGGCTACAACTTTCTCTCTCTACAGATCCGTTGTTAAACTCCCGAACTACAAAGGTACGTTACCCTTCCACTCGTTTCTGTATCTATACTTTTGTGTGTGTGTAGTTTTTCTCTTCCGTTTTATATTTTAATTGACGGTTACAGTTTAAGAGGGGATGAAGATTGAAGTGTAAAGTACAGTTAATGGTTGGATCCTTAATGTTGGCTCGTTCCTTAGTTTTGTTGTTTATTTGAATTTGTTAGTCTATTGATTTACATATTAAGGTTAAGTTTCTGCGTATAC